CACCTCTTCTCCTGAAGGAAATCTGCATTTGAGGAGGCAGCAGCTACCTTTGGACCTACTCAATAAAAGTAGGGACACCTTTAGGTTAGGCTCAGTTCCTGGTGACTACAAAGCCATGTCCAGATGGTTTTGATAACAACAGGTCACTTTTTAGGAGCACCTGCAGTGAATTAGTTGCTCTCACTTGGATGGACTTGTAACACCAGAATAACAGAACGACAGAGTTGGAGTGGAGCTTAAGACCTACTCTAGTCCAACCCCTGCTCAGGCAGGAAACCCTAGACCATTTCAGACAAATGGTTGTCCAATCTCTTAAAAACTTCCAGTGTTAGAGTATTCACAGCTTCTGGAGGCAAGTTGTTCCACTGATTAATTGTTCTGTCAGGAAATTTCTCCTTAGTTCTAGTTTGCTTCTCTCCTTGATTAATGTCCATCCATTGCTTCTTGTCCTGCCTTCAGGTGCTTTGGAGAATAGGTTGACCCCTTCTTCTTTGTGGCAGCCCCTTAGATATTGGAACACTGCTATCATGTCATCTCTAGTCCTTCTTTTCATTAAACTAGGCATACCCAATTCCAGCAGCCATTCTTCGTATGTTTTAGCCTCCAGTCCCCTAATCATGTTTGTTGCTCTTCTCTGCATTCTTTCTAGAGTCTCAACATCTTTTTTACATTGTGGCAACTAAAACTGGATGCAGTATTCCAAGTGTGGTCTTCCCAAGCCATTATAAAGTGGTATCAGCACTTCATGTAATCTTGATTAATGCAGCCTAGAACTGCATTGGCTTTTTTGGCAGCTGCAGCACACTGCTGGCTCATGTTTAAGTGATTGTCCACTAGGACTCCAAGATCTCTCTCACAGTTACTACTATTGAGCCAGGTACCACCTATATACTATACCTGTGCATTTGGGTTTTTTCTTGCCCAAACAAGACATAACAATCAAGACATCATAAAATGTTATGGGAAAAGAGGAAGAAAGTGTCCAGGTGTAATCCAGCCTCAGGTATTCAACATCTTTACCAAATATGCTTTCCAGACAATCAAAATAAATGCCAGAAAGCTATTTTCACTTAGCAACAGGAGAAAGATTACTTTTTTTTATCAGTACCAAAGGAATTATCCAAACAGCCAGACAAGCTAATGCTCATAAATCAATGGAATTTATTTTTAAATGCGCAGGCTGAGGTATCTATTCACATTAGAATAGTCCATGTGTAAATCAGTTAATAGGCAGATGTTCCAAACATGAAGCTGTCTGGAATGAAAAAGCTAGTTTGGTCCAGTGGTTAAAGTACCAGGTTAAAAACTGGGAACTACTGAGTTTTTCCCACCTTAGCTATGAAAGCCAGCTGGGTAACCTTGGACCAGTCTTTCTCTCTCAGGCCAACTCACCTCACAAGGTTGTTGCTGTTGGGGAAATAGAAGAAAAAAGGACCATTAGATATATTCACTGCCTTGAGTTGTTTATAAAAATAATAAAGGTGGAATAAAATGAATAAAAATAATAAAAAGGTGCCTTAGCACACAAAGGAAGCTCCAGAAATTATACTGTATCTCCTAAAAGTTTGATTGGATGAGAAACAGCGCCTTGAGTTAATGCCCAGTTAGGATGTATAGGAGGTATTCAGGCCTCAGGTGTCCTCTGTGAGCTGTAGCTGCCGTCCCTTGTCAATCTACAATTATTGAGTGCTCCTCAAAGATTAATCACTGTTTGGTATGCTCTGTCTGAGCCACATTTGTTACCTGCTCTATGATCACATTGCACATGTACAGAATTTGATACTTGAACTTAATCTTCCTGAGCATGCCAGTGTTAATGCCTTGTTTGTTCCCTGAAGTACCTTAGCCCATAATGCCAGGAAAATACATTGCAAGAACGTGGGCACAGGTTTTCACAACATCTCAGAAGGCAGAAAAGTGGTTGACTGCACAGCGAATGACATTTCTTCCTGGGTCTCTGGATGCTCTCTTTGAAGTGACAAGAAATATAGCAAATTTACTCTCTTTTCATAATTAACTCAGTTTTCAGGATTCAGAGTACGGGTAGTCCTCAATTTACAAGCATGATTGAGCCCAAATTTTCCATTGTTAAGAGAGGTAGTTGTTAAAGTGAGTTGTGCCCCCTTTTTTTGCCACAGTTGCCAAGTGAATCACTGTAATTGTTAAGCGAATCACATGGCTGTTAAGTGAATCTGGGTTCCCTCATTGACTTTGCTTCTCGTAAGATAGCTGGGAAGGTTACAAATGATGATCACATGTACCCTGGACAGTGCAACGGTCGTAAATACATCCAATTTGCCAAGCACCTGAATTTTGATCATGTGACTATGGGGATGCGGGCGTGGCAATAGTTGTAAGCAGTGGTGAAATTAAAAAAATTTCCCTACCAATTCTGTGGATGTGGCTTGTTGGGGGGAGGTCATGTGACTTGGTGGGCGTGGCCAACTTGACATCACTCACATCGAGAGGCTCCTCACCGGCCCCTCCCCTCCCAGCCACTCCTTGTCATGAATGGCAGGAAAATGAGGAGGGGAATATTCCTGCCTACCATCCTTCCCTCAGTCTGTGCTGAGAGTGAGGAATGGATGACAGGCAGGAAAATCCCGTTCCCCATTTTTCTGCCTTTCATGAAAATTGCTCCATTCCAGCTGCTCCCCCGTCCCCCTCTCTCCTGGGGTCTACCTTAAAGGGACAGGCTGCAGCAGCTCCATTCTGAATGGAGGGAGAAAAGTTAGCATTCTCTCTGCTGCATTTAACATTGAATTCTATGGAATATCGAGCAGCCAGAAGAGTTGAGTGGCGACCAGCCGGGCGTGGGTGGGGCCAACGAGGGGTGATTACTACCGGTTCGGCAAACTGATGCCAATAATCCCTAGCAGTTCACCCGAACCGGTCCGAACCGGTAGGATTTCACCCCTGTTTGTAAGTGTGAAAACTGGTCACAAGTCACATTTTTCAATGCTGTTGTAACTTTGAATGAATTATCACTAAACGAATGGTTATAAATTGCAGCTGTATCCTGAATTTGCAGCTCCTAGAGAGAACAGAATCACATGTTTTGTATAGGTAACCCTATTTCTTTAGAGCAGTCTTCTTAAAGTTGATGTTCTCCAGATAGGATGAGGGTTTCAGCTGTCAGAAGTGCCAAAAACATTGGCTGTGCTGCTAGGGAATTCTGGGAATTGTAATTCCAACCTGTTTGGAAGGGTGTCCATGTGGGATACTGTAGACTACTTGTTTGGGGTGGAGAGCCATCCTTTTTTTTTTTTTTTACTCTCAAGCGAAGCTGCACCAAAAAAAAAAGGAAGAAGGCCAGAGGTTGCCTGAGCAGATGTAGAGAGTAAATATGTAATATTGGTAACACTTAACTAGGCAACAGTGTTGAAACAAACGAAAAAAATTAAATCCTGAGAAACTAGATAACATTTAGAAGCAGCTTAGGCAAAGATCTCCCTACTTCACTGGAGTATGTATAAGAAGGGGATAGAGGGATAGCCAGGGGTGGGTTCTACTTATCTTTACTACAGGTTCGCAATGGGCTTGCGTGCATGCCTTGCTTCTGCGCATGCGCAGATCACCAATGATGACTTCCGGGGCAGTGGGCGGGGCCTCCCGCCAGTTTTACTGCTGGTTCTTGCGAACAGGTCTGAACCAGGGGCAACCCACCACTGGGTACAGCCAGGGCCGATTTTCCTATAGGCTAACTAGGCTTCAGCCTAGGGCCTCAAGATCAAGAGGGGCCTACATTCAAATTGTTAGCAAAATTAAAATTACATTTTCACTATAGGTGAAAGGGCCTCATAAGTGGAATAGCCTAGGGCCTCTTTTCATCTAAATCCGGCCCTGGGTACAGCACAATCAGACAATTCTGTCATTATAGCCAATCTCATTAAAAGTAATTCCTTGCTTCCTGTGTAGTTGGTCTCCTAATCTGGTTTACCTGCTTGGGCTGATAATGGGACCAGCCATTTCATTCAATTTAGAATGAACTGAGTGAAATTCCTTCACAGTTTAAAAATTACAGTTTGGTGGCAACATAGGCAGGATTTTGCTACACTCCTGGTAGAAATTATACTATGTTGGCTCTAGGATGAGAGTGATGACCATTTTCAAAGAGTAGGTGCCCGGTGTATATATATTCACCATTCAAGGTGAAGATATATATATATATATATTCAAGGTGTAAATTAGGTAAGTTCTTGAAACAATTGGCTTTGGCAGAAAATGGAAGAAAATTAGGGATCAAACTAAATGCAAATGAAGGACTACTTATATTAAATAAATTCACCCTCTATGTATTCTTCTTAGTGAATAGCCGTAAAGGTTTTCATATCTACTTCAAAACCTATTGATAAGAATATATGCATCCATTCCTGAGCACAATGATATCAACGTGGAAAAAAATCCCAGGTCTTGTGAGTCACAATGCAAAGTCTATTCTTTCACACAACAACAGGCAACAGAGCTTGCATCGTAAAACCACATGCAAATAGTCCTTGACTTGCAACCACTCATTTAGTGATCGTTCAAAGTTACAAAGGCACTGAAAAAAGTGACCATTTTTCATAATTGCGACCTTTGCAGCATGGCCATGTGATCAAAATTTGGGCACTTGGCAACTGGCATGTATTTAAGATGGTTGCAGTGTCATGTGATCACCTTGTGTGACCTTCTGACTGGCAAAGTCAATGAGGAAGTCAGAGTCACGTAACCAACGTGGAACTAACTTAACAGTTGCAGTGATTCATTTAACAACGGTGACAAGAAAGGTCGTAAAATGGAGCAAAACTCCCTTAACAGCTGTCTGGTTTAGCCATGGAAACTTTGAGTCCAGTTGTGGCCCTGGGCCGAGGGCTACCTGGACACATTTTGTCCCTTGCCTTTTGTCATTCACCCCACCCTCACCTGGGGAGGTGAGACTAGAGATTCTACCTAACTCTTGGATTCTCATTGTTTCTGCAAGCAGACGAGGCACAACCTCTGTTGTTTTCTTTAACCAGGTCCGCGCCAGCGCTATTGCACAAGATGCCGACCAGAACTACGACTATGCCAGCAACAGCGTGATCCTGCACCTGGACGTAGGTGATGAAGTCTTCATCAAGCTGGATGGCGGGAAGGTTCATGGTGGAAACACCAACAAGTACAGCACGTTCTCTGGATTCATCATCTACCCAGACTGAGCTTTCCCGGCTCCAGTTTTTCCCTCCCTGTTTTGCCTCCCCAAATCCATTCCCCGTGAGTCGGCTTTTATTCTTCTTGGCTTTAACCATCTCTGTGGATTCCCAGAGGCTCCTTCTGTAAGCTCTGGTCAATCGAGGATGAATCAGAAAAACTTGGGAGACACAGCGATTCTACCCTCCCCATCCAGCCCCTCCTATGGAAGGAGGGTGGGTGATATGAGACTTTCTCTGCATGGGGAAAATCGGGGAGGGGGTGGAAACAGGGTAAACTATTATTATATTATGGTTGGTGGCCCAGTCCGCCAGATGTTTAGACTGGATTTGGCATTTTTATCCTATTATTATAATTATTATGAGACCTTGGTCAATAAAAGAGTGTCCCTAAGAGAGATAACTTCTAATTTTGGAACTTGGGTACTTTGGAGGGAAAAAGCCCTTAATTAAATAAGAATGAAGTCAAATCCCTGGCAAATTCTACAAAACTAATTCTCTCTACATATATACCCCTTCCCTAAATAAAAGAAGGGGGATTTTTGCCAGCACTCTGTTTCATCGTTCACCAAATAGAAGTCTTTGCATTGATACCCCTAATATCTTTCCTCAAAGAAGCTCAGGATGACTTATTACCTTACAAGTATCCTATGAGATATTTCCGTTTCAGAGTACCAGTTTAAGATCACCCAACCAGCCTCATGGCTAAATGAGAATTTAATTTGGGTGTCTTAACTGAGAGTAGCATCATTTCATGGGACTATGCTGGCTCTGGTTGCTATATATATTTTCAATCCTCCTGCCGTCTTTGAAACTATGTTGATTAGAGTGAGATCCTTTTTGTGTGTGAAGGGGTTACATTTCTACAAGAATAATCTGTTACAGATTTGCTTTGAATGCCAATGGTGGGTAGGGCTGAAGACATGACGGGCAGGGCCAAAACTGAAAATGTGTGGGACCATCCACCTCTCTTTATCCAACATCTCAATAATATTTTTTTGTCTGACTCCCTTCTCTCTCTCTCTCTCTCTCTCTCTCTCTCTCTCTCTCTCTCTCTCTCTCTCTCTCACACACACACACACACACACACACACACACACACACACACACACACACTGTCCTCTTCACCCATCCCGCCTACATGTTCAATTGCTGGTGAAGAGATGCATAATCCTCATTAAGGATCTCAACTGATGGCTAGCAAAAATAGACCATGCTTTTCCAAGTAGAACAGCCAATGTGAAGTTATTTGTTGGATGGAGCACTTCAAGCAAGTTTTTGTTTCCGCAGTCCTATTGGCCTCCATATAATCTGAAATATATCAGCATGAGAAAACATTCAGATAAAACTCTGCATATGAGGCCAAAGTTTTCCAATATGAGATTGTTCTATTGAAAGCAATTGGGGGGGGGATCCTTTTTCATTCATCAATCCTGCCTCCTACCTTGCTTTTCAACAGACATTAGACAGTTTAACCTCAATTCCTGTCAAGCTTTGTACACTTATTCACAGATTGTGGGCGTAGCTGCTCCAGAGGACAATCTTTTGTTCACCTGCATGAAGATATATAAATAATGTGAAAATAGACATCAAACCAGTGGAGTCTGTTCCATTTTCCACACAGTCCTTTTGAACTCAGAAATGAGACTTGTACTATCCTGAATCATAGATCCTCACATCAAATGATGACTCTATACCGAACAAGAAGAGCAGCAAATGTTCTCTTTGGCTGCCATCCTGGAATCAGCCAAAGGGCTGATGGATGGGTTTTGTCATGTTCCTCAAAAACAGAACAGCCAGCCCAACAGGCATCAATAGAAGCTCGAGATGTCTCACTCTGACCTCACTTTCTCCTTGACCTATCCACCAAAGACTGCATCCCTCTTATCATACTTCAGGTATGTATACTTGCCAGCAAGACATCCATATTCATTCTAGCATTTGACTCCTTCATTTGCAGAGCTGTGGAAATCCTATTCCAGCTACCTCCCCAACACATGTTCATATGCACCAGAACAGCTCCCAGATGCAAACGAAGTCATGCTGCACCCATGCGCTTCAATAAGGATGGAACGGATTCAAGCAATGAAGCAACTGGCTTCAAGTAGCACCATGAGGGTTTGAGATGGAAGCAAGCAAGAGAACTGGTGCCTGAATGAAATGTCGAACTGGTGGAGGACACATCTTGTTGGCTGTTCTTCAGACAGAACATCTCTTAGCCTGACATTGCAATCCTGACCTATCCAACAGGGCCTTATCAATTAAAACTGCATTCACATTAAGCCAAAACCATGGAATCATTTCAGACTGTTTTCTCCCCCAGTCCATGGCATGCCTATAATAATTCCTGAGCTTCTGCAACCAAGTGCATGTTGCCTTTACACTGCTTTGGCGTCTAGAACTTTGATCAAAGCAAGGAGACAAGATAGTCAATGCTCTAAGTTGGCTTTACCCTGGGCGCCTCCTCCTCCTCCTCCTCTTCTTCTCACAACAAACAAAAAGTGTTCTTCATTCCACACGTCTCTACATGGTGGACAGCAAGACCAACAACTCTTTCTAGGTGTCATTATCTGCACTGAAATATGAAAACGTGTGCACTTGCACTTGTATATTTACACACGTTTGTAGATCTCACCATCTCTCCACATGTTGTCAAAAAAATTGTTCAGATGAGATTCTTGACCCCATAAATAGCATAGCTGTTCATGCATGTGCCAATACAAATGAAATTGTAAATGTACTGTATATTTATGTTTATGTACAGGGCTATTTATTCAAAATTTAAAGGGGGGGTGAAGAGAAGTTCAGTAGCCTCAGAGCCAAAAAAAAACAAAACAAAACAGAATTAGCCGAACTGACTCATGAAGCACTGTTATATTTTCAAGTACCAAAAGTGAAAAAGATCTTGAGAGTTCTCATGCTGCTTTGAGATGTATAATAGAGCCCAATGAATATATGTACTTGTGCCTACTTGTGGTAGTGCTTACAAATGCAGGAATCTTTCCACTGTATCTACAGGACACCCATCACTTTTATGTATTTATGCGTGTTTATTTGAGGATGAACATGGCTGAGGTTGGAAGACCAGAAGGGAATCTATGAAAGGGAATTCAGGCATCTGCACACACAGACTGCACATCCAAAGGCGTGAGTGGCAAAAGGTCTACAATTGTGAGAGGCACGGCCATATCATTGTTGCATAAAGAAGGCACATCCATCCACACGTATTCTAGTACACACACCTGTGAGCGCACATATTATTATTCAGCATAGGCATGTCTTGCAGATTAAAGACCTCCATTTCAGTTTCCTCTCAGCTATCGAAGCCCCTTCTGCTTTCGTCTCTGAGCTCTCTCATTCCTCATCTTTTTGGGGACAGAGAAAGCGCTGTCTGCCTCCAAGGGCTGCAGTCCTGTTCTTATTGCAGCCCTGTTATTTGGCAAGACCTGCCCTGCATGTCTGCTCTTTCTTTAGAGACCTAGGGAGAATTCGAATGGTGCTCAGTACATGCTCTAGGATAGTGTTTCTCAACCACCCATGCTGGCTGGGGAATTCTGGGAGTTGATGTCCACATATCTTTAAGGAGCCAAGGTTGAGAAACACTGCCTGGGAAGAAGAAACCTGGTGAAGGTTCTCCAGGGCACAGTATAACCTCCAGCATCAGCCCAGCTTTGCAGCCAAGAATATACTGTAAATCCTATTGGGCCCAATCAGCTCTGTGTCACTGAATTATCAGAATCTGTGTTTTATCAGTTAATAAAGATACTTTGTTTTTGAGTCATGTCTTGTCTTTAGCACGTTCATTTGCATGGGGATGGATGATCCCAGAAACATCTACATGTTTTATAGGGCTGCACCTACACAAACTAGGTCCATGAAAACACACACATTTGAAAACACACGTTTGAAAGATACACATTTGTTTGTCCCATGCCCCACTGGATAATAATTTTAAAGAAACATCTCCAGATCACTTTTCAGCACCATCAGAACACTTTCTCTACCTTGTAGGCCAAGCTAAGCTCAGAAAAAGTATTTTACTTCTTGATAATCTCTTTTTGAAAAGTTTGCTTTCTTTTTAAGAAAGCCATATCAAGAAATACACCGGGGGGGGGGGAGAGTATTGCGTATTCATTTATATATAAATGTGTGTTTGTATATGTTCCTATACTTCCTTTCATATTCCTCAACACAATACACATTCAATACACACACAAAAACACTCCTAGGAAACAAAATGGCAGGATTAATGCTGTAAGTGGAGGATACTATTTTTAAAGAAAAAAGCTGCAATAGGACTAGCCTCCTCCAAACTGGCTGATTTTTAAATGGAAAGTACAAGCCTACGGGGATTTATAATCTGGGTGTTGTGCACGATCCCATCCTAACACCAACCTGGCAGAAGCAGACTCTGGTTGAGTAGTTTTGGGGTGACAAGAAGAAAGGAAAAATGGAACTCAGGCTTGATAGGAGCAGTCAGGGGCTGCTATAATCAACCAGATCTCAGCATCGGCTCTACAAGGACAATATTCATCAGGGGAGAGACTACCTAAGCTTGTTTATCTATTTATATCTCTATCTATCTATCTATCTATCTATCTCCATCCATCAATCTCTGTATCATCTATCTATCTATCTATCTATCTATCTATCCATCCATCCATCCATCTATCTCTAGATCATCTATCTATCCATCCATCCATCCATCCATCTATCTCTACATCATCTATCTATATCTATCCATCCATCCATCCATCCATCCATCCATCAATCTATCTATCTCTATATCATCTATCTATCTATCCATCCATCCATCTATCTCTCTATATCATCTATCTATCTATCCATCCATCCATCCATCCATCCATCCATCCATCGATCTATCTCTATATCATCTATTTATCTATCTATCCATCCATCCATCGATCTATTTCTATATCATCTATCTATATCTATCTATATCATCTATCTATCTATATCTATCTATCTATATAGTGTATATATCCACCCATCCATCTATCTCTATATCATCCATCCATCCATCCATTGATCTATCTCTATATCTATCTATCCATCCATCCATCCATCGATCTATCTCTATATCATCTATCTATCTATATCTATCTATCATCTATCTATATCATCTATCTATATCATCTATCTATCTATAACTATCTATCTATATAGTGTATATATCCATCCATCCATCTACCTCTATATCATCCATCCATCCATCCATCCATCGATCGATCTATCTCTATACCTATCTATCTATCCATCCATCCATCCATCCATCCATCCATCCATCTCTCTCTATATCATCTATCTATCTATATCTATCTATCCATCTCTATCTATCTATCCATCCATCCATCCATCCATCCATCCATCCATCCATCCAGCTAGCTAGCTATCATCTATCTAATCTAACCATCCATCCATCTATCCCACTCATCTCACCTAATGACTCTGGATGGTTTACAATAAATATCCATACCCAGGGAGCATATACATATAGTCCTCATTTAGCAACCACAGTTGGGATCAGCAATGTGGTTGTTAAGCAAAGTGGTTGCTAAGTGAAACCTCGATCTGTGCTTACGATCTTAATTCAGCCTTGCTTTGCTTTGCAGACCCGCAAAAGTTGTAAATGCAAGGATTGGTCCTAAAAATATTTTTTTCATCAATGGTCACTGTCCGAGGCACTTGCTAAATGAGGACTACCCGTACAGAATGGGGCTGTGGTGTGTATAGTTTGTAAGCAGAGCATATCTGAATTTTATCTTGGCTGATAGTAGCCCTTCACCCACCACCTCTATTTAACCGACTCAGCTAGGATCCAATACTGAGATTTCCTCTACAGGGCAGGCAGGCGGGCAGGCAGGCAGGCAGCATCTTCTCTGAACATTTTCTTCATTTCCCTGCCATTCATAGTTATTCTCCTCTCCTCAGCTCAGAAGCTGTCAGTGTTGGTAAAAGGGCCTCACAGCACTGGATTTGTGGGATGGCTGTCACGCCTCCCCATCCAGTTCGCTCAGACTAGAAAGTCACAAGAATGGAAACACGTCACCCTGAATTCATCACAGGAGCCTCATCACCTCAGACGTCGCGCTCCCAACGTGCGCCTTGTCCAACAAGCCTCTGCTCTAATGCACACCGACTCCCGTGGGCAGCCTCAGGAGGGTGCAGCGGTGCAGGAGTCTCGCGTACACTTGTAGAAATATTAACCCTTGTGCTTAAGCTCACACAGGCAACACGTTAAGAAAGCAGGAGACATCTGCTGAAGAACTGCTGCATGTGGAAGAAAATGTAATCCCCACTCCATAAATGCTGAGTTTCCCAGAGGCCCTCTAGACAGCCCCCTCCCATATTTTTCATTTATTTACATCCAGCCTTTATTACAGGTAGTCCTCAACTTACGAACCACAATTGAGCCCAAAATGTATGTTGCTAAGGGAGACATTTGTTAAGTGAGCTTTGTCCCGTTTTACAGCCTTTCTTGCCACAGCTGTTAAGTGAATCACTGCAGTTGTTAAGCTAGTAACACGGTGGTTAAGTGAGTCTGGCTTCCCCATTGACTTTGCTTGTCAAATCGCAAAAGGGGATCCCACAACACTGCAAAGGTCATAAAGCTGAGTTTTGTTTATATGATCATGGGGATGCTGCAACGGTCATAAGTGTGAAAATGGTCAAAAATAACTTTTTTCAGTGATGTTGTAACTTTGAACTGTCGCTACGTGAAGTGTCGTAAGTTGAGGACTACCTGTGTTTTTGTGAACAATTCAAATTGGTGAACATATTTAATATTCCTTCCTCCTCCTCATTTTCCCCACAACAACCACCCTATGAGATGAGTGGTTGGGGGGAAGAGAGAGAGGAGGGAGAGAGAGAGGGAGGGAGGGAGGCCTGGCCACCTAGTGGTGGTTTAGTGATTAGTTTTTAGGTTTTTTTTAGTTTTAATTTGATTTATATGCTGCCCTTCTCCGGAGACTCAGGGCGGCTTACAATGCGTTAAGCAATAAGCAAGCAGTTAGAATGCAGTACTGCAGGCTACTTCTGCTGACTGCTGGCTGCCAGGAGCTCGGCAGTTCGAGTCTCACTGGCTCAAGGTTAACTCAGCCTTCCGTCCTTCTGAAGTCGGTAAAATGAGGACCCAGATTGTTGGGGGCAATATGCTGACTCTGCAAACTGCGTAGAAAGGGCTGTAAAGCACTGTGATATGGTGTATAAATCTAAGTGCTATTGCTAGTGCTATTGCTATATCACATGTCTGAGGCAAACACAATAAAATTTGGCGCTCTGCCCTGCCCCGTCATGGTGCCGAGGGGGGAGGGAAATGAGAGATACTTTCGCAGTACTTAATGAGCTCCCCAGCCTGACTGAGGTGGGAAACCAGGGATTTAAACTTCCTGACATCTCAGGCTGGGAGAGCAGCTCTGAGAAAGAGCCAAGGGCCTGAGGACTGTGAGCTGCCTGTTGAGATGATTAAATCAACGCTTGGGAGGAAATGGGTCAAGAGCTCTCTCCAAATCTGACCCACCCACCCACCCACCGCTTCCCCCTCTATTCCCATGGCATGGCGAGAATCTTCATTAAGTCAAATGGAAGCTTGGGAGTTCACTACTCCGATGACAGCTTGTAAAGGGAGAGTGCACGGAGGTGAGAGCGAGGCTTTAAAGAACATTTGTGCCTGCTGGAGCTAATCTTGGAAGTGCAAATAGGACAAGTTAGAGGGGGCTGAGAAAGCAAAAGGGAGCATACATCTGAGGCAGCCACACATAAGCGCAATAAAGAGCGGATGAGCAAATACCAAAGCAGACCTTTCTAGGCAAAGTGCTGTGGTGTGTACCAGAGGCTGTGGTGCAAATAAGTAGATAAGATAAAGGTAAAATTTCCCCTCGCATATATGTGCTAGTCGTTCCCGACTCTAGGGGGCGGTGCTCATTATCCGTTTCAAAGCCGAAGAGCCAGCGCTGTCCAAAGATGTCTCTGTGGTCATGTGGCCGGCATGACTAAACACCAAAGGCGCCCGGAACGCTGTTACCTTCCCACCAAAGGTGGTCCCTATTTTTCTACTTGCATTTTTTACGTGCTTTCGAACTGCTAGGTTGGCAGAAGCTGGGACAAGTAACGGGAGCTCACCCTGTTACACGACACTAGGGATTCAAACTGCTGAACTGCCGACCATTTGATTGACAAACTCAGTGTCTTAGCCACAGAGCCACCGCATCCCTTTTAAATAAGTAGATAGATGGAGCTATATACTATGTAGATGGAGAGGCGTTTTGCTGGGGCTGCTGTCATGGTCAGCTTTTGGCCATGAAGTTTTTTCAGAAGGGAGGTTCATCTGTCCATCTCCTGTAGTTGAGAGCTACGTTAAACTACAGTTGGTTATTGACTTACAATCATTTGTTTAGTGATCATTTAAAGTTACGACGGTGCTGAAAATAGTGACTTATGACTGTTTTTCACACTTACAACTCTTGCAGCATCCCCGTGGTCATGTGATCAAAATCTCTTCCTACTAAAAGAGATCAAAATCTGTTTCCTCACTACCCTAGAAGGCCAAAAGATAATCGCAGTGAAAGAAGGGAGCAGGGGACAGATAAATGCATGTGTGTATTGCTGCAGCCCCCAAAGCTTGCAAGTGATACCAGCTGTTGCCCTCAAAACCCCAAACTGTTGCCCATCTCGCTACAGAAGACTGCTGCACATTGTGCTTGTTCTTATGAACAGGCAACCTTCATAACATAAATGCTCCTACTTGGAAATATCAG